ATCTTTCTTCTATCATTGACAGTCCCTCTAGGTTGTGGGCTGCTTGCCTGTGTTCCTGAGAAGCATCTACGGTACCAGTCTATAGAGTGTGTTTTCTTTAGTGAATTACCGGTATGTTTACCGGTAATAAACTTGCACTGTTTTATGTATATGTTTGATTACATACAGCCTTGTGACAGTTTTCCTGCATGTCATAAGCATTTGAATATAAATTAAAATGTTAAAATCAAATCTGATATTGTTTTACCTTTTATTTGGTGTGTGGAAGGTGTGCGGAAGAGGGGGTAGTCTTATACGGCGAGTATATAACAAACTCTGTATTTTGAGTGGAAATGTTAGGGGGTCGTCTTATACGCCCAGTCGTCTTATACGCCGGCAAATACAGTAAGTACTATCAACTGATTTTTACCACAGGCCATGTCAATCTAGTCAAAACAGCAGTGAGCAAAGGATGCACTGTGTGAGAACCAGGGGGTTAACCTATTAATACAGCAAATGGCCTGTTTTTATTACTTTTATACTGTACATCTTTCAGAAACTTTTGTCTAAGTAGTGCATTATACTTCATTAAGAATATTAACTTAGTTATACTTTCAAACCTATCTGGTAGTACCATATCTAATCTGTAAAACAACACTGAGCATTTTATTTGGTTTTTGAAGTCTAATTTTACCCTTCACACCTTAGGACACATGTAACTAGTAAAATTAACAGCCAACACTTAGTATAGTGCTTGTTTTGCACAAAATCTGAAAAAACACAAATACACACAATAAACACATGCATTTGTTCAATGTTTATAACCATGCTATGAGAGAGGCACTATCAATTATCCTCATTTAAAGATGGCAAAAAAAAAAAAAAGGTATACTTGTCTAGTGTCGCAGAACTAGAGCAAAGCCTGAGGTTGTAATCCTCCTCAATTTTTACTTTAAAAGCAACACGTTCTTGTAAAAGATGCAAACCCTACAAAAATGAGTAAGAGTTCCCTACTATGGATAATGGTGATGACTGCGTAATAATGTGAATTTATTTAATACCACTAGTAACACTGGTTAAAATCTTAAATTGTATGTATATTTCAGCACAAAACAAGTCCCTTACCATACCTTTTCTATGCTTATAAACAATGTATATACAACAATACAATACAAAAAGTTTTCTTTAAATAAAATTATGTATGTGTGGATGGGTGGATTGCATTCTAGGATATTGCATGGACCTACAATAAGTGATTATTCAATCCTCCACTGTTGGGCATTTAGGTAGTTTACAGGCTTTTGCCATACAAAAACAGAGCAGGAAATACCCACAGTTCTTAATATAAGCTGACTTCCTACACTGCAAGGTAACATAACTTCTGTTTCTACCATTGCAAAGTAAACAGCTCCATTTTCACATCCCATTAAAACATCTTTAAAGAACTGGCCTCCTGAAATCTCAGAAAGGCATTCTGCACAAACAACAAAATTGGGCTCT